CTTTTACCTAATCCAGAGTTCCGCAATCAAGTGTCATTGTTTAGCATCCGCCTATCCAAGGCGTGCAACTGGTTGATGCGTGCTAGTTATTCTCCACCTTAGTGTTGATCGTCAGACTGCTCAACATCAGGCGACATTTGTGCATATTGATGGGCTTTTAAGTCATGTATTTTTACTCAAATAAGTAGCATGTGCTATACTATCAAACGTTTTTTTAACGCGAAGTGGCGCGTTAAAAAGCTAAAGAAACACATCAAATATTGAGAGTTCAATACCTGAGAATCAATAACAGTCACACACTGAACAACGCCGTGACCCTGAGCTTTTCAAATACGACCACACTGTCAATAATGTATCAACACGCAATAGAAAATTAGGTCTTTATTCAAAATCACAAAATAAAAGCACACGTGAGAAAGAATGAAGGACGAAAGGTGTGGTTAACCGACATTTGAACAAAGGTTAAAATACACGACAGGGAAACGAAAAAGATAAATGACAATACTGTCCAACAAAAATAATACGAAGGGATTTTCATCGTTCTATATGCGTTACATTAATATCATTAGAAAGAACAAGCCGACATTTTTGTTCTCATTTAGAATAAATTTACTTTCTACCTAAAAATTCACGTATAGCACCGAAGTCATGGTTCTCTCTGAGTTCACTAGTAATACTTTGATCATTATGTGACGGCTTTTTCAACACTTCGTTTATCTCTGAAAAACAATACAACAATAGTGGTGAGAAAATATTACCATGTTAAGAACAATTCAATAAATAGAGAAATGAAATTTACTCAATATTCTGTTTGCCATGCGTTTCGAAATCCCAACCAACACAACATCAATCTGATCAGTTAATGACTTCTCAAATTATAAATCGACAGAACATTTGTCAGTTACTTTGAATAAATTTTAGACATAATCGTCACCAAACAACGGCCGATTGTTAGACATACACGTGAAATGACACTCACGCTTCCCATTACGATTCGCATACAAACTCAATCCCTGGTATTAACAATTATCAATCAGTCAATCGCTCTGTCTGGCATACGATTGGTCGACAATTACAATTTACACACAACACAATATACAAGCATGCAGTCTTGAGTGATTAGACACCATTCACTTGGTTGTGATCTCTCACATTCAGATGTGCAACCATATGTTGCAATGGTGATGCAGTGATGATGATGACTATCTGAATGAGCGAATAGAAAACATTTGTTCACCCTGATTCCAATCATATTTGAAATTAGATGAGGTCACGTTCGCATCGATTTCATCGACCGTGAATTTGTGTCGTAAGAGGATGGTAATGTGGTGTATGTGATTGTAGACATGGTGAGTGAACAATGTGATTGGCACAATATACGTCCAATGCCAAGGAGATGATGGTGGACACTTCCACTACAACTAGTACATCTGTCTACATCGTGATGTGAGTTCACGAAAACAGATACTGGATAACGCAAATGTCAAATGCAAAACACAATATCACCTTTTGTCATACCAGTCAACAACATGTCGTTGACGGCATTATCCTGCGTGGGAAGACCATTGACATCCAAGAAGGTGACGAGAATCAACACAGTGAATGTCGCAATGAAGTTGAGGTGCATCTGAATTAATGAAGGATGTTGTGAGATGGTTAGTTGATCAGTCATTCACATGTACACAATTACACTCACCGTGTTTAATTTGGATCAGATGAATGTTGTTTTGAGTAGAGTTGGTTGATTTTGAGACTGAGTGTGTTTGCCTATTTATACAATGCATGAGTGTGCATGGAATACTTGAACTTGAATGTGTAGTTTGTAAGCAGTGATGCGGAGAGTTGGAGTGAAATGGTATGTTGTTATGTGAATGTGGGTGAGTTGAGTTCAGTTGAGTTGAGTTGTTTGTAGTAGATCAAATTGGTGTGGTGTGAACGATATGATAATGGGGTTGACCTGACTGATTGTGAATTAGAGTTAAGAGTTGATGAGTTGAGTTAATAGTCGTTTTGTGTTATTGTTTTCATATGTAATGATTGTGTTGTTTGATAGTGTGAATTCTGTTGAGTATTGATGATGGTGGTTTGAATCATGAGAGTATTGTAATGGAGTGATACTTGAATTGTTTGTTCTTCGTATAACGTCGTCAATACATCAATAATTCTAATTCTCAAATATTCGTTGATGAAATAATTCAACATATGTTAGAACACTGTTAGCTTGAACTCAACAAAAATTTCCAGTTTTGCAAGTGAACAGTAAATATGAGATTGCTATCATGTGAAATTACCAGAAGTACTCGCTTTTGGTGCGGACTCTGTATTGTATTATTGAATATAACTCAATGGGTAGTTTTTGGTGTTTTTTCTGTTGTTTCACGGCATTCCTAGACTCATAATCCTAGCTTCCAGTCTTAAAATGTGTAGTAAATATAGGATAATTGCACTGAAAGTGAAGTATGACTTAGAATACACTCACTAGCATTAGAGTCAACAACCGAAATATGAATAGAGTCACCTGGTTGTTGTGAATAGTTTGCATGTGAACCACATATTTATTGAAGTGTTTTAGTAAACCTTCCATAGTTTGCGGTGACAGAGTTATTACACGAAGATATTTTGCTTAAGCGATTTCATCGTTGTTTCGTTTGCGTATGGTCTAGTAATTTCTCACCGACGGAATTTATCTGCTGACCTCTGTGAGTCTCTTAACTTCATAGCAATCGTAAAATCGACATTTGTTTTAAAGGTTTTGAAATGTCTTGCTTACATATGAGAATGAGGGGACTCTGGAGTCGTGTGTAATTTTTCTCTCTACGACTCTGTAGTTAGCGCGTTATCAAGGACTTCATTAGAAACATTTTTATTGGCCGATTGGAAAATCTGCCATTGAAGCATTCGAAAATTTGTAGACCTTGTATAGACGGTTCACAATCATTGATGCGCAGTTCTCCGTTTTTGAATATGATGTGAATTACTGAAAGTTGTAGATGAGAACTGCTAGCTTACATACCTAATTGCGCCTGTTACACCTCGTCTAGAAGTATTGGTCGCCCACTAGCATTCTTCAGCCAACTCTATCCTGCACAATCTTTTCCAATTGTTTCCAGTTGTTATTCATCTTTGTGGTTTTGTTTGCTTCAAATTAGCGACGCCGTGTGTCCTTGGACTTCCTCTTTTCCTTTTCTCTTCAGAATTTTAAGTTAATCCTTGATTTGTGATTCGGTTTGATGATTTCCGTAATGTACATCCCATCCACTTCCATTGTCTTTTCGTTATTTCCTCTCAAGATGGACGGTGGCTCATTCCCTCACATGGTAAGTTGTTGCTGATGGCATTCGGTCAACGAACATTCAGTATCTTGTGTAGACGATTGTTTGTAATTACTTGTACATTTTCAGTTATGGTTGTAGCAGTTTTCCATGTTTCACCTCCATATAGTAGAACTGTCTTGATGTTGGTGTTGAAGATTCTGACTTTGATATTATTTGACAGTTGTCTTGAGTCCCATATACTGTTCTTGCTTTGCCGATCCTACACTGGGTGTGTTCACTTGCATTTGTTCACATTACGTCGAGAAATAGAAGCAGATATGAGAAGGATGAATAACAACAAGGAGGCCTATGTCACACCACAAGGAGTAGCAGAAGTAAACAAGATTTTCAAACAATCAAATTAATTAACTTCCAACTAATCGAGACCATATTCAAAACCGGAAATCTGGCAACAAATGAAATCAATTTTAGAACAAAACTATCATAATAGTTCAAATAGATTTATATATATTTTTGATATACTCATAAGAATAAAATAAAGAGACATACAGTTTGGAAAACAAGCTAAAAATAAATTAAAAAAGGAGAAAAAAAGATTAACAGGGATACAATGGACATGTAGATAGGCGAATATTTACAGAATTAGGTATAATATGCAGCAGAAAAAGCGTTGATGACAAATAACAATAAAAGAGAAGAAGAAGGAATCAAAGAAAAACAGAATAATTTAGTCATGAACCGAATGATATTCATTCTATATGTATTATATTTACAGAAACAATGAGAAAAGCGGTGAGATAATGAAATGACAGGACAAAGTGAAATTGTGTATGACAGTATGTAGAATAGTATATCTATACACATGGATATAAAGTATAGTTGAATGTCTGATTATTATTATTATTACTAATAATATTAGTCTCAAGAATATAAATGATTCATGCACAGATACCACAAAATACGTTTAAGGAGACGTTTCGAAATCAACAATAAGGTAAAGAAAATCTTCTTCTTAAAATAGAAAGAGTATTTATACACTTATCTACTTGTTATAATTTTGTAAGCAGAGTATAAGAAGCCATGATCAAAAATACAGACACTGGTTAATTTTGTTCTAATCAACTATAGTAAAATCATAATAGTCAATCAATTTAAAATGTCAAATATAGTATAGAAAGATAAAAAGTGTATAGTCAAAATAGTCAGTTTGTTTTTTTCTAAAATATGAATGATCAAATATATCTGATTAGAAATGTGCGAGTAAACAATGTACGACTAGCTGGTAGTAGTAGATGGAGTATAGGCAAGAGAATGATCATAGTAACATAAACACTAATCAGTCATAATAATGACAATAATAATAGGGAGAATACCATTTCAAATATCTGGGTAAGATTACTGTAGTAATTAAGCTGCTTAGTGAACAAAACGAACAATGGACTAGATAGATATATAGAGAAAATAAAACAGAGAGTATATATGTGATACATACTTAAGCGCATACAGGAAAGTGAAACAAAGCACTATGAACTATGAACTGAAATAAATACAATAAAAACGTAAATATATCTCAGTTTCTGATCATGATCAGGGATAAGAGAAAAAGAAGAGACAAAACAAGGAGAGAAAACACAATAGTGATTTAAACAAATGATTCTAAAAACTAACAGAAAATTATTTATACAAATTACGTGTAAATAATGGAAGACAAAATTACAGTTATTATCACGAAACTGAGCAACATGCTAATCTAGCTCTATGTTTGCTTAGTATAAACGATGATACTTGTTTATGATTTGGCGTTTGTGATTTATGGGTCCAGTGGTTAACGGATTCACTTGACAACTCAGAATAATTACTGATATTATTATTATTGTTATTATTACTATTATTATGGGTTTCTGAATTCATGTTTTCAACTATACTACAACCATGATCAGGAAGACAGCTGATGTTCGACTTCTTAAAAGACTCTCGTTTTGAAGATAAATGTGAAGGACGTTTAAATGAAGTTGTAGATTGACTAACAGATTTACAAGACCCATTCCTATGGTTATGAGTAAGAAAATTGTCAAATCTTACGGGTGAACTATGATCAAGAGAAAGAGAGGAAGGGAAATTGTTCTCAATCGATTCTAAAACAGGACTCACTGAACAAGCAACATCTGTGTTTGTAATGCCACTTATACTAGCTGGTAAACTCATTCTACTTTTCTGAGATGAACCTGTAACAAGAAAATCCCGATTCAAACAACTATTCATAGAATTTTTGACCATATTGGAATTCTGTAAAATATTGCTTTTTGTAGAAGCTTTTAAGATGGATTCCAATGGATGGAGTAAATCACGATGATGAAGGGGGAGTCTTTGTGAATCTTGTGAAGGAGAATCTTCTTTTCGTTGATTTTCGATACGGAAACCTTCTGATATGGCAGTGAGGCTACGAACAGACGTTGAGGTGCTAGGTCGGCTAGAATTATATTCACAACTGCTAACTCCAGCAATGGAATTAGTAAATCTACGGTTATACTGACATTGTAATTCAAATGTTCCTCGTATAATGTCGATCATGTAGCGTGAATCTCGCAAACTTGTTGCGAGAGAGCTAAGTGAGAAATTGGATGTAGTACATTGTGAACTGCCACCATTTTGTAAAGCATCGTTTCGCTGAGCACTTGTGTTGGGTAACTGACTAATGGTTGAAGTTGACTCCGATTCAGCCAAAGTTGCGAATCCATCACGGGTAATATTGGATGTCGTGAAAAGAGTTGAACTTGTATGCATACTTGACGATTCAGACTTCCTTCGGTGATTCAAGCCAAATAACAGATTAGGTGTCTTAAAAGTAGATTCTCCAGAACGTACTACTTCGTCATCTTCTTCACGTATTGGAGTGCAATGTTCTCGAACCGTATTCGAACCACCCAACTGAGAGTTACCTTCAAGTGATAAAGTGGTCAGCCCAATATTATTCGATGGCACAAAAGTCAAATGGGGCTGTTCAGATGTTTCGCACAATATAGGTGCGGAACTACACCAACTAGCAGTTTTACGAGAATTGCTAAGAGTACGATGCGGAGATCTAGTAGAACCTCTTTTATTCATTCCAGAGATTGACGGCAAAATACTGCGATGGTTATTCCTAATCATATCACTTATTTCGGTAATTGTACCTGAACACTTTGTCTCATTTTGCGTGAAAGATTCATCTGAAGGCTCTTCTGGAGAAAAAGAGTGGTCCAAGTTAGGGGGTAAATGACTAGTGTCATGCTGTTCTAGAAATGAGGTATCTGAGTCTGAGCGACTGGGTAACGTAACACCTGAACCTGGATAATACAATCCTGAGACTGCTAACAATAAACCTGGAGGTCCACTGCATCTTCGGTCGGGATTAATCCCCTTGTTGAAAACATGTGTGCCTTGGCTGTGATTTGAATAAAGAACCTTTCTTCTATTGATGGTGCCTATTTGTGGCTCAACAGGAGATGAACAAAATGATGGGCGGCGCTGATCACTCACTAAACTCATGTTGAGAACAGCATTCCAGCTCCCAATACTTGCTGGACGAGACGACGATGCAGGTGTATTCAAAAACCTTCGTGTCCACGCTGGACTATGAGCTCCAGAATATGTTTGTTGGGTTGCAGTCGTGTAAAAACTTGTAGGTCTCAGGCCAATCAACTGATCGTCGACATATTTGATACTACGGTACAAATTATACGAACTACGCAAAGATCGGATTCCTAAACTATCTTCAGCTGTAGTATAGACAGCCGGGTTTTGTATAAAACATTCTCCTAATTTCTTTCTACGTTTATCCATGTGGAGGGAATTATTGGTTTCTATTGAGGTATGAATGTTCCAATCTTCTTCAGCAGAATGTTTCAGAAGCTGCGGACTGCTCTTCACTGTAGTAAGTGGACGGTGCGATATAAGTCCTCGTCTAAAGGTATTCTTTCTTCGAGTTTCAACAGGTGGAAGCGAACGAGTGGTGGATGTAACTCGATTCAAGGAACTTACGAAACCCGTTCCATTTGCATTCCAAGGACTAACAGAAACATCTGACTCAGCACCATCGGATGCTCCAACTGCAGAAACACTTGTTCTAGAACAAGGACGAGTCGAAACCACAGCTCCATGGACATTTGATGTGAATTCTGATTCGGATGTGCTCAATAGATGATTAACCATTTGATCAGTTAAAAGTTCAGAACGAACGCATGCCAGACCAGCAACAGTAGCAAGTTCTTCTTCCTCTTCTTCTAGCATTGCCTCTTCAGACGTATCAGCGAAACAGCGGTGTAAGGCATCTGAATCATTGACCATTTTTGCTGACTCATTTATACCTGAAATATACCTATCGAATGAAGTAGGTGCTATTGGAGACCCTTTACTTTCGTCCTCTTCTTCTTCATCTTCTAAAATCATACTGAAACGCCTGACACGATCCTCTACATTTGATGAGCCTAAAGAATTTAAAATGCGTGAAGTTGGCGCCGCAGTACTTGAACCCATCACACTATTTACCAAAGATTTAGGAGTTATATTGTTTTCAACATTCTGCACTTGTTTTGCATTTTCAGATAGTCCAAACACACAGTTGATACATTTTTGTTGTTCTTGTTTTCGTTTTTCAATTAGTTGAGACTGGCTTGCTAACCGTTTATATTCTTCTATGTAGTTACGTTTCAGTTTGCGCTCCGCAAGTAAGTAGTATGTAGCAGCTATGTGGTTGTATTCATTACGATCTAAAGTAGACTGTATTTCATCAACAGTCGCCAGTTGACCCTCAGCCATTTTGGATAGAATTTCCATATGGTCTTCAAATGAAAGATGTTCACGAGATATCAAGGGGACAGAAAACAGCTCAATAGGTAAGTCATTATCATCTAGCTTAAGCCAGTCATCTTGTAGGATATCATCAAGATGGGCACGCTTTTGTGGATCACGTATTAGTAAACGAGAAATAAGCCGCTTACAGTCTGGTGATAAATGTGAAGGCATGGAATAATCACAATCCATGATCTTCGTTAACGTTTCACTATCATTTGTTTCTTGAAAAGGCAAATTTCCGCTGACAAGCATATATAATATCACACCTAAGGACCAAATATCCACTTTTGGAGCATCATATGAGTCACCCAGCAATATCTCCGGAGCTGAGTAAGCCAACGAGCCGCAAGCTGTGTCTAAATTAGTGCCAGGAATAAATTTATTACTGAATCCAAAATCTGTTAACTTAACCAAACCCAGTTTCTCGAAAAAAACTACATTCTCTGGTTTTAGATCTCGGTGAACCACTCTTAACTTGTGGCAATAAGCAATGGCAGTTACTATTTGGCGAAAATACCGTTTTGCAACTTTTTCACTTAGACCATCGCCATGACTTGTTATGCAATCATATAGGTCTCCTCCGTCACCTAACTCAAGAACGAGATACAATTTGGTTGGCGTGTCAATAACTTCATATAATCTAACCACATTTGGATGCTGAACAAGTTTCATGCATACAACTTCCTGAAACAAATGATCTCGTGAAACATTGTCCAGTTTGGTCTTGTCGATTACTTTCACTGCAACTTTCTCACCAGTAAATACATGGCGTGCTTGTTTCACAACAGCATAATGTCCTCGTCCAATTGTATGTTGTAGATCATATAAACCGGCAATTTTCGTATCGATATCGGGGTTATAAAAGAAAGGTTTGTCACACATCTCCTACAGAAACAATGAAAAGTCATAGATTTCGCATAAATAACAAAAGCGCACTGTGAGTAAAAAGAAATGGTGTTATCCAGAAATTAATGGACGGCTATTTCGATACCGCTTGAAGCTTACCAGCTCCGTGTACCCTCCATAATATAGTAACAAACATTTGTGACACTCAAGACCAGTGGTGAACTTGTGCTATTAACGATTGTTACGTTGCCAGCCTGTGATATTGCACAAATAATATGATTTAGACAATTTTTTACTTAGAACTACATGTGTTTCTCGAATTAAAAATTATACCTAAGATCCTCAATATATTCATCTTGAAACAACATACGAATGAGCATTAAATTACTATCCGCTTCAAATTTTATACGACTTGTCAATCAAGTACAAGCTTAGAAAGTTGTTTGTGTGGCACACGTTTCCTCCTAAAGACTGGCAATAGTCATCTGTTCAGTGTGAGTTAAGAGGGAGAAAGGTTTGAACTCTTGATAGAACACTCAAAAATGTATTTAAACAATTTAGTCACTATCTAGGACCATTTCTAAGTAGCACCTTAATCAGATATAAACTTAGAAAGCAGTAATTCCAACTGTCTGTTTAAGTCCCTTGATGAAGCTCACTTGAATGATAAATGACAGACCTTTTAAGTTCTAGAAATGGAATCAAGCCAAACCTTAATCCTAGATATAGACATGAATCTCTTACTTGACATTCTAATCCTAAACCCTAGCACTAACTATAAATCGGAATCATAGTCGTAACTAAAGAATTAAGTATCTACTGACACTTCGTTCTGTAAGATGCGTCAAGATGTCTTTGTCTGTTAGATTATTTATGTTACAATCAATGGGCAACAATTCCACATTGAGGTCATCTATTTCATTATCGGTAGGCAGTAAGGTGCTTGGAGATGTACATCACGGCCTAACAGCGATTAGGACATACGCCATCAAATCATAATAGCAGTTCAATTTTATCAGGTACATTCCCTGTACTTTTAGTTTACATTGGCTAGAAGTCATTGAGACTGATAATCGTAGTTTTATTTTGTGAGTGAACCTTTCATTATTGATACAGTTCACTGTCTGCCCTAGAAAGATCATGGCAGATTACTAATACAGAACGTAAAATCTTACACAAAGAATGTATGTGAGGTTTTTTATTGGGAGCAATAGATAGGAAAGATGCTAACCGTTGTTTCCTTTCATTCGGAAATTATTCTTGCAACTTAAACAGGAGTGATTTTCATAACAAGTACTCTTACCTATATAAAATCCAGTTCCAAAAGATAGACAGTAGGGCCGTATTTTTGATATGACTGACATTTACAATAAACATTACGATAAATTACCCAGGCATAACAACACCTGCTGAAAAAACGCGCTCCGAGTATATACTCGAGCTAGCCGCTTTTCCTCCCTGTATCACTCAATAAACGTTAGCGTACTTTAACTACATATGAAGTTGAGCTAATGTGAAAATTTATGAGAAGTTATTGGTCTGAAGATATTGATGAATCTTCAGCAGATTCAGGTGCACAGTGTTAAAGTCCGGAATAAAGTGATCTCCAAATCACTCTGGATGATATGGGAAACCACTCCGCAGGATTAAAAGTATGATATAAGAATGTTTGCAGTCTGCCAAATAAAATGACAGTGCTCAAAATGTGGTAGATACAGATAACCTTGATGTCACTGGCATTTGATGAAATGCGTTATCGTCAGAATAGTATTATAGTGAAATTTGGTTGCTTTGTTTCTGACTTTGTAGAGCTGAAATACTAAACGGTATTGGCGGCAGTGTTGTCGTGTATATGAAAATTGTACCTTAACAGCTCAATCTGTTAAGGTGAAGACACATGACTGAGAGACATGTGAACTGGAGGGAAGCCGGCTGAAATCTCGAAGGGTAAGACGCTGGTTTATTTATAGGATGCTACCATTCAGAATGAGTAGTGGATAAATTCTTTTCACATAAACTCAGAACCTGATAAAACAGGTTAAAAGGCCTTTTAATTGATGGCTCAATGCACTCTCTACAAATTAGAGAATCCGAAAATAATCATCAAAAACACTTTTTGAGAACAAAATGTTAGAAGCCGTTACCTCTTGAAGTTTATTCTGCTGCATTAAAGATGTCATCAGAAATAATCAGCCATTCTCTTTATCTGTGTCAGAGTTAGCATTCACCAAATTTAACGATTCAAGTCAAATAAAGTTCCTTACACCTGTAGGGAGAATTAATCATTTGGCTATCTAATGTGAATTCATGGCAGATCTAGTTTATCGAGTAGATGTCCCGTTACATCCTAACATGTGCAAGGGACATGCAAAGGTGATCAACTACACTGACTAGACGGAAAATTAGAAAATCGATTCTGACGCATTGATGAGAGATAAATGTACTCATCGCCGGTGGTTATAAAATCAAGTAGTCAATCATACTCTCCACAGTCCCAAAACAGATAAACAACAGCCATATCTGAATAAACAGTGATACTTGACTTTTGTTAGCAAAAAATTTGAAACGTCGAAACATCGCCACCAACGTTGACAAACGAAATACGACGGAACAATGCAGGTCGGTCCGGGATAAGCGTATGAGCCAAGTTTGAGCAGCGCAACGAAAATATGAGAAGCATTCGACCCAATGTGTCATCGCACAGCCTAAGCGACTGTTATTGCATATCAATCACAGAAAGAGAACACATCATTGGATTGTCATTCTAACTACGGAAGAAGATGAGTCTCAAACGACAGAGGAAGATCACGGGAAGGCAAACGACATAGCAGACTGCTTCGGGATAGGTTTCACTCAGAAACCTAGACGAAAGTCATCAAATAGGATACTCACTATGATGTTTGTTTGAGATTACGTGATGAAGGGCATCAGCAATGTACCAACCGAAATTCCAGTATTTCATCTAGATTCAGAGCCAGAGAATCAAAGTATGTTTGATTGGACTCACGCAAAATGGCACATTGGATTATGTTTTCTGGTTAACAAGAAAATGTTACTTCAATCAGATATATAACGTCCAATATTTCTGAAGGACGCATTTAGCCTGAGTAAGAGGTTTTTCGACAGAGAGATTCTTCTCAGACCGCTTTCACAGACTGAAAAGTCTGTATTTACTTGAGATGCATATCTTTTGATTTTCAGTGTGGTTTCGGTACAGAGTAGGAATCTTGCCATCTTTGTTCTGAGACAATCAAGCAATTCAAATTAAAAAGACTGCACAAACACTTGTTTGATACAAAGATTCATATTGCAACTGATCACTAGGCATTAAGATTTACTTACTAATAAAAAAATCACTTCATCAGTCATCCGTTGCAATCGACGAGAGATGGAATTCAGATTAGAGTGCTTGTTAGTTCACATTTTGAAAACCAGCTGTTGAAAGTAATTGTATGTTAGTTCAATCATTACCAGTTGATGTAGCAGAAGTAGTGAAGGTTAATCGTTAGTATTTTGGAACTGTCATAAATGAAGTAAAATGGTGTTGAGATTTTCTGTGCGAACGTAGATGTTTTGAGTTTTGTAAGGGGAGGGAAGATATATTATTACATTCTGAAAGATCGTTTTCCATGATGGAAATTTGTTACACTCTACATTCAGATATTCAGTATTAGATTATATTATTTTCATCCATGTGTAAAAAGAGAAATTAGAACCACTTGCTCGTGAGGTTTGTTGATCGCCTGAGATTGACGCTGATACAAGCCATAAAGCGAAAATCTGCCGCATTTGTTTGTATAAGCTGTCATATAATAATGCTACTTGGAATCCCTAGCTTACATCTTTTGAATCGTGGCAACGCATTTATGCGAATTACTGTGGCCCGGTTTATAAAGTCAAATTAAACTTTGGTTTAATTAGATTCATATTCTAAATGGCTAGACGTGGTATTCATGGACAGTCCTAACGGACACTTTACTCAGAGGACGATGGATCATGAAGGATTACGTAATGTGTCAGTACCAGATAATGGAAACCATTTCATTGCAAATAATTTTACCAACACGCTTTCTGATTTATGACAACGTCATATACATACCACCCCACGACATCTTCAGTCTAACGGTTCAAATTAGAATTTCTTTCGATCTTCAAGGAGTGCTATCCTATCAGTAAGCACAAGTAATCTAGAAGATCCAGAAAAACGCATTCATAGGTTTCTGTTATAATATCTTGATGTTGAGCATCTAAGAACTGATGACAGTCATGATAAACTCTCCAAATCTTTAGTACATTGGATTCACTTAGCAAACATAACATGATCAGAAGTACAGTTTCACAAATAAAAAGACAACTGATCATCGACGGGAATTATAATTCAGAGAATGGGCAGCCGTACGGCAAGGATTGCTAATTCAAACAACCACTGATTTCACAGCAGACATACAAATCATGTGAACATTATTGTAATAAGTAATTCTAGTTCTATTTCTGAGCATATATTAACTGAACTTCGGATTGATAGTGAGCGACATTGTATAGTGACTATAGGGTGCAAATTCTACACGAGCTATGAGGTTATACCATTCTCATCGAACACGAGTCGACCTTAATTATTGACTCAGATCACCTACGTCGGTGAGTGAATAAACCTCTGTCGGTTTGTAACCGAGGTCGTGTTTCGGGGATAATCAAACCTAAAAACGATATGTGGATCGAGAACTACATTTGAAGTCATCTCTACTTCTTAGATGCGAGTGCCTATCTATACGCTTTTGTGTCATTTTTTTTACATAAATAGGCAGCCTCTGCTATACAAGCAAAGGTTTTTGAAAAGCAAAGTAGCGCGCTAAACAGTGAAAGAAACTCAGTATTAAGTGCTCGATACCTGAGAATCCATATCAGTCACACACTGAACCACGCCGTGACCTTGAGCCTTGTCAAACACGACCATATTGTCATTAGTATTGCAAAACGAAATAGAAAATTAGGTAACGAAAGATAAGTCTTTATTGAAATGACGTAATGAAAGCTCA